CTGTCTCCCTTTAGTTTTTTCTTTACCAAACTGACAGTTTCTCAGTCCAATATTATGAATACTATATAATTGTTCATTTGCTCCTTTCCAATTTCTTCCCAACTTCACTGATCTGTGCAGACATTCTAACAGAAAAATGGCAATAAAATAACATAAAGACGATGCCTGACTTTTGCACACATTTCCCTTAATACAAAATACTAGTCGTCTACTAGTAATAGGATATCTTGTTTTTAATTTAGCTTGTATCTTTGTACAAATTAATTTGACATTTTTTTCAAAAAAGGATTGAAACAATAAAGCTGATCTTTACATGTAAAAATACCCTATGACCTCCTATTCTTCCTATAATTAATCAGAAATAACAAATATTTATCGACTTCCTGTTCAATACAAACACCTTGTTAATTCCACCAACTTGTGACTAGTTTTTCCACTACCTTGTTATTTGTATAATTTCTTTTTTATTTAAAATATACCACACTTTGGCTGAATTTACACACTAGAGTCTCTCTTGGCTTAATGAGCCAATTTCTAAAGGTTTTGAGGTTATTTGCTTTCCTGTATCCCTCAGAGCTATTAATATTATTTACTACATACCATTTAAACTGTTTTTTTTTACCACTTTAATTTTTATTCTCAATTTCAACATCAAGATGAGTAAAAAGTTATTCAACAGTAATAGTCTCTGGATTAATTTCAGTAGAGTATAACTGATCTATTTCTTCAGGATATCATGAAATCATTGTTCATCATCCTGAATGACTGAAACATTACCTTAACAGCAACATGACGTCAACCAATATATGCAGGAAGTCAAATTCAATTATTCCAGAGGTTACAAAAAGTCTATAATGCCCTCTCCAGTGAATACCTGCCTTACACACACTCACACCATAATGTTTCTGTAAAAAGTATATCTATATGGTAGTATTTAACAAAATACAAATAGATAAGTGATATCTATTATTTTGTCATGAGCAACTTGACTTTTTTACTTTGTCACAGAAGGAAATTAAATCGGTCTGACAATTTCTATTCACAAGGTCATGGTGGTATTTATCTGTACTATTTTAGGTGACTATCAATTACAATATAAATAAGATTTTTCTTCTTTTTCTTAGTTTTTTATTTTTTAAAGGTATTCAGCTAAGATGAAGGTCCTAATGTTCCTCAGTCACTTTTTTCAAAGACGGACCCCTCCGATTTGCCTTTTCATGCAGTTTACCACGAAAACAAAATGCTTTTCACCATTACTGACAGTCTTCTAAAAATATCACATACTTTTCTCTGCCTTATTTAATAGTTTACAAATACACAGTAATTACACTTTACTTCTACTTTTAGTTTTTCTTTCCTCTCCTTGACTGAAAGAGACTGCCTGATTCTAGAAATCTCTACTTCCACCTCAACCTCTAGTCCCTATTAATTTGCTTTTTCCAAATGTCAGGGTTTGAAAGATCTGTTTCTAATAGGACTCCATTAAAAAAAATTATATGAGGCTACCTAGACTTCATTTAAAAATAATTTAAACTTTTTTTTATTGATGGGGGGGAGAAACATCGATTTATTGTTCCACTCATTTACTCATTCATTGGTAGATTTGTGTGTGCCCTGACTGAGGATTGAACCTACAACCTTGGCGTATTGGGATGATGCTCTAACCAACAGAGCTACCCAGCCAGGGCCAGCTAGATTTCATTTTAAAGCAAGAGATGTAAAAAGACACTGGGATATTCAAAAGCCTTTGTATTCAGTTCTTGATTTTAGGTTGTGTTCTAGAGACTTGGAGTATTAGAATAGTTGTACAATGGCTATTGTTATTCATAGTCATTTTTTTTTTTTATCACAGGCCGTACTTCGTAATAGCTACATATATTTCATCAATCAGATACTTACTACTTATTCTTTGTGAATCCCTTCACTAATTTTATAGCCCAAGGTGGAGCCCAATTTGCTTTCATATACATGGTTAATCCCTTCATTCACTTGCATTTTCCCCAAAGAAATAGCAAGTCACTTTTAAACTTGAGTACGCATCTATGTGCAACTCTCACATTGCCTGCCAGCTTCCACCTCCCATTGTATTTACTTCTGAATATGCCTCATTTTCTGTTTTAATCCATGAGCACCTTGAGAGTAGCATTCAGCTTTGCATTCTTCACTATACCATGCACAGTGCTTTATTCATGAGAGGCACATAAGAAATTGCTGCTGAATTAACCAATAAAAATAATTTGAATAACAAAGCTATTTTCCAAGAGTGAGAGGTACAAAACACAACAGTTCAAAATTCAACAGCTATAACAAAATCAAAAGCTAAAATACAGAACATTTTATAGTAAATGGCACTGTACGTATAGTGAAATGAATATGATTTACTAGAGGGTCAATTTTATAGTAACCAAATAGTTTTCTTAATATTTAGACATCACACACACACACACACACACACACACACACACAGAGCAATAATTCTTCTTCTGATTCATTCTTTAATGAGTAAGAAAAAAAACACAACTTTGATAATAATTTTTATCAGTTAAGGACACAGATCAATTATTTTTTCAAAGATGCCAAGACAGTTCTATGGGAAAGTAATTTTTTTTAACAATAGGTGCTGGAAAAACTAGATATCCTCATACAAAAGGAAGAATTTAGAACCACGTATAACACCATATAAAAACTAATTTAAAATGGATCAGAGATGTAAATATTAAAGCTAAAACTATAACATTGTTAAAAAAAATGAGTAATTATTCATGCCTTTAGATTAGACAATGATTTCATAGATATTAGACTAAAAGCACAAAGAAAAATTTATTAAAAAATTGACAAATTGGACTCCATAAAAATTATTTGCTCTTCAAAAGACATTAAGAAAGTAAAGACAACCCACAAAATGGGATAAATTATTTGCAAATCATATATCTGATCAGAGTGTATGCATAATATAGTTTTTAAAAACCTCTCAGAAGTCAATAATAAAAAGAGAAAAACCCATTAGAAAAATAGGCAGAGGAGTTGGATAGACATTTGTTCAAAGAAGATACATGGAAAACCAATAACCACATCAAAAGATGCTCAGCATTATTAGCCATGAGGTAAATGCTAACCAAATCCATAATGAGATGTCACACCACACCTACTAGGATAATGATAATAAAAAAGACAGACAACAGCCCTGGCCGGTTTGGCTCAGCGGTTAGAGCGTCGGCCTGCGGTCCCGAGAGACCCGGGTTCGGTTCCCGCTAAGGGCACGTACCTCGGTTGCAGTTTGTCCCCGGCCCTGGTTGGTCGTGTGGGTGGCAGCCACTCGATGTGTCCCTTCACATCGATGTTTCTCTCTCTCTCTGTTCCTCTCTCTCCCTCCTGCTCCATCTGAACAAAAAATGGAAAAATGTCCTTGGGTGAGGAAAAATAAAAAAAGACAGACAACAAATGTTGTTGACAATGTAGAGAAACTGGAACCCTCATAGATTGCTGGTGGGAAAGTAAAATGGTGCAGCATTTTGGAAAACACTTTGGCAGTTTCTCACAGTGTTAAACATAGATAGATTACAAGACTCGGTAATTTCACTCCTGGATACCTAACCAAGGGTAAATGAAAACCTACCTGCATCTAAAAACTTGTATGGGAATACTCATAGCAGCCTTATTCATAACGGCCAAAAAGTAGAAACCTCCCAATATCCACTAATTGGTAAATGGATAAACAAAATGTGTATTATATTCATATAATAAATTATTACTGGCAATTAAAAATAATAAAGTACTGATACATGCTGCAACGTAGATGAGCCTCAAATATATTTTTAATATGTTAAGTGAAAGAAGATGCAAAAGATAATGTATTGCATGATTCCATGCATATGAAGTCTCAAAAGGTAAATGCAGAGACAGAACTTAAGTGATGGTACCTAGAGCTGAGAGTGGGAGTAGGCAGTGTTTACAAATGGGCATTAGTTTCACCAGGCCGGTGTGGCTCAGTGGTTGAGCGTTGACCCATGCACCAAGAGGTCACAGGTTCAATTCCCTGGTCAGGGCACATGCCCTGGTTGTGGGCCTGATCCCCAGTGTGGGGCATGTAGGAGGCAGCCAATTGATGTTCTCTCTCATTGATTTTTATATCTCTCTCTCCCTCTCTCTTCCTCTCTCTCTAAAATTAGTAAAACATTTTTTTTTAATGGGCATTAGTTTCTTTTCAGCTCGATGGAAATGTTCTGAAATTAAGTTGTAGTGATGGTTGCACAACTCTGTAAATATACTAAAAAGCTAACACCACAATGATAATCGTGTCAGCAGTGAATTATATCATTCCCTTACTTTTTTATGAATCAGAGTATCTTGATTCTTTAACCTTTACTCTTCTTAGGGTTTCAAGAAGTTGAGAATTTTATGAAAACAATGATGACAACATCTGAATAAAGTCAAGAATGATTATTCTTTATAGACTGTCTATTAATTACCTATGGTGCTATGTTGGGCATTACAAAAAGAAAAATCATTGTTCCAACTTTAAGTTGGAATTTTCAGTCTTATTATGACCAATCACGGTACTGTACTGAATTTGCATTGAGACTATTACATATAAATAAAAGCACTGATTTTCTTAAGATCAGTTAATATTTACATATTTGTTTATGTGGATTAAGTTTATTGATATTTACCATATAAGAAATTAAAATAGAGAAAACATAAAAATATTTATTAATTAATTTATAAATAATAACAAACCAGTAACAAGTTAACAAAATAATATATTAGGTGAAAAAATAATCATAGCCTTAAAAAAATCTGAGTGGAATTATTTTACAAATTTTCAAATCTCTTAATATATGCTGTAATGTCTAGATTCTTCAATCTGCTTCTGTATTCAATGTTATCATTTACATTTACAGCTGCGCAAGGTTTTTTTGGTTATTGTCTTTTGTGTGTTTTTTTTTTTTGAGTCAACTATTGTCATATTTTAGCATGTGACAAATTTCTTTTTCTTTTTTGCCAGGGGAGCTTGAACGCAGTCCTCTACTACCACAAATATGCAGTTGCGTCTCCCGCATTTGGGGAAACCGCAGGGGTCAGCACACCTGGAGTGCAAGGCATAAGCCCCGCCCTGGGAAAACCACCTTCGTGATGTGGCATCTCCCCTGCCAGGTGAGTATGTGGCAGATATTCCCTCTGTGTACTCCCCATTTCAGCACACAGACTAGTTAAAATGTGTGTACTTCTGTGTCTAGATGAAATAGAATTAATACTTTTTACTGCTTCATCAAAGACATCTCTGTAGTAAACCTGGCTTTCGATTTTATTTATTTACTTACTTATTTTTACTGGGAGTGAATGACAGCAAAGAATAATGCGACTGAATAATACTATTACAGTTGGTGCCACTGACTTGACAAGTGTTAAGGCTAGGAGTTTTCATTGTTCTTGCACCATAAATGCAAATGTCAATACAGTGAAAAGACAAACAATGTTTTGTGTCATTATGGAGATAGTTTTTGTGTGATGGACTCCCTAAAAGGTTTCAAGGGAATTCAAGGGGGTCTGTGGACCATGCTTTGAAAATAGCTGGTTTACACTCTATATGAATCAAAGACTATGGACACGTGGAGAACACAACTGTGGAATATTTTTACATAACCCACTGAGTGAAGGAAGGGCTATAAATGAAATGCAAAAAGAGAGGGTAAAACAAAATGCCTAGGCATGAAAAAATAATAAGAGTAAAGAAAAGCAATAAAATAAGGTTTGGCCCCAGAGAAGAGAGAGATGAGATTCCATTCTTTGTTGTTCCATAGAGAGTTTTATGGAGATCACCCTCTTATTTTCTGTTTCGTTGCTTGCTTCTTTTTAACTTCTTTATTATGTTCAAACCTCCTTTTTTAATGTCTTCAAAAGGCACTCTTGTTTTCATTCATACAGGTTGATCTATAATCCTCTATATGCCTTTAAAAAAATGGTGTGCAATCTTCCAGTCTTCTCGAATCACCTGAAACCTGAAACGCCGAGGCCCAGGTAGCACAGAAATCATGGTATTCTAGACCTAAACCCAGTCTGTTGCCTCTTTGGTTTTGCCAACACACTGACATACATAGCCCAAAATACCACTGGCCTTTTAAAATGGCATATCACATTCCAGGGTAATATCAAAACTGCTGCCTGGTAGCATTTGTCAAGTCTCAAAGTAACTCTTTCCAGGATTTTCAAATTCACTGAATTTCTTCAATTGAAATATTTTATATAACAGAACTCTCTTAGTTTTCCCTTCTCCCTGAACGTTTAATTAAAAACTCTGAACTCTGGTTTCTTTTCTTTAAGTCAATATTTCTCTTTAATTTTTAAATTATTAATAATTGCCTAAAACATGCCAGATATTGCAATCTTAGACTTGTCATTAACCATTTATTCCCCTTCACACAGCTTCCTCCCACTACACCCTCAACACAAATAACTTCACATCTTCAAGTGCAACATATACTGATAATCACCCCCATTGCCCCACTCTGCCCCCTCTGGCTCAATAGTACATATACACTATTATTTAGTCTTGTCATTTCATTTGCTAATGATGGTAGGTTTATAATTTGATTTTGTCTATTTGATGAGTTTTATTCTATATAGTTTAAAATTTTATGTACATACGGTGTTAGTATTTTCATGTTTGTTTGTTTTTTAGTGATCTCAATCTGAGGTCAATTTTTACTAAAACCATTCATTGGAAATAGAAGATACTCCAGGAGTATATAATTACTTTCCTAAATTCCGCTAAATTCTAAAGGGAAAATGTAGATTACCAAATTATACAATTTTCAAGACAACAGCCCTTTGACATTTTAAAACTAACTTTATCTTAGACCCTTTCCCAAAGTTCATCTGTTGTTACAAAATTTTCAAAGTACTATAATTTTATTTTAGAGTGTTTGGGAGCGGATAAAATATTCAAACACTTAACTGATACTTCAGCAACACTGAGTTTACTATTTTGATTAGTGATACAATAAACATCTTTGTACAAAAAAGTACAACTGGCCAGGTGGCTCAGTTGGTTGGAGTGCTGTCCCGTACATGAAAAAGTTTTATTAAAAACAAAAAAATGACTTATCAATTTCAATATTCTTTGCCCAGTATTTTAGCAATCATAAGTGTAGCCAAAGGCAACTGCTACAGACGGAATTGTGACCCCTGCAAAATTCATATGTTGAAGCCATAACCCCTGATATCTCAGAATGTGACTGTTTTCGGAGATTGGGCCTTTAAAAAGATGATTAAGATAAAACGAGGCCATTAGAGTGGCATCTTTTGCATTTTGACTGGTGTCCTTATAAAAAGAAAAATTTGGATAAAAAAAGTCACTAAGGATACACACACAGAGGGGAAAAAAAACAAACAAAATATGAGGCCACATCAAGACCACCATTGACAACTCAAGGAGAGAAGCTTCTGAAAAAGTCAAACCTGCCAACATCTTGATCTTAGACTTCTAGCCTCCAGAACGGTGAGGAATAAATTTCTGTTACTCAAGCTATCCATTCTGTGCTATCTTGCTATGGCAGCCCCAGCAAGCTAATTTACCAATCAACCCAATTCGAAAGGAATTCCTCTATCACAAGTTCAAAGGTTTCTCTTCAACGGTGTTTATGAACTAAAAGCAGACGAGCAAAGTGTATCATCAAGAACATGGATAACATCTGTATATGTTTGATAAAGCATGTGCAATACATTAGAGATGTTTCTTAGAAATTACTAGTAATCTTTCTCCAAAAATATTAGCTCATTACTAAACTGTGTATCATTATCTTCTTAAATTCCCAGTATAGTAAAAAATGAATATATTTCCAATTAGAAAATTTTGACATGAAGTTCGGTCAAAAAAGTGTTTAACATTTAAGGGTCAATTTTTTCTTACTTTAAAGTTACGTAAATTCTCAAGAAAGAATAATATCACTACTCTTCTCTTAAATAAAAAAGTTGTTTCTAGTACCCAGTAAATAAAAATATGTTAAGCCTGGCCAGTGTGGCTTAGTGGTTCAACGTGGACACATGTACCAAGAGGTTGCAGGTTCGGTTCCCAGTCAGGGCACATGCCCAAATTGTGGGCCAAATCCCCAGTGAGGGGCATGCAGGAGGTGGCCAATCGATGTTCTCTCTCACTGATGTTTCTATCTCTCTCCTTCTCCCTCGCTCTAAAGAATAAATCAATAAAGAAAAAATATTTTTAAAAAAATGTTGTTAATAGTGATTTGCTAGAACATACATGCACGTAAATTTGGCACAGCCAACAAGGTTAGCGAGACAGTTCAATGGGGAAAGAATAGTCTTTTAAACAAAGAGCGCTGGGACAGCTGGATATCAACATGTAAAAGAATGAAGTTCGGCTCCTACTTCACATTATATGCACAAATTGGCTCAAAATGGATCATAGACCTAAATGTAAGAGTTAAAACTATAAAACTTGTGGAAAAAATTATAAAAGTAAAGTTTCATGACTTTAATTAGGCAACAGTATCTCATATATAACATCAAAAACACAAGTGACAAAAGAAAAATGTTAAAGACCAAGATTACAGCTATTTCATCCACATTAAAGCCAATGTTGTCTGTAGATGGAGCACAGAAGAAAGGAGAGGCCATATGAGAAGGTAAGGAGGTTTTTATTTTTTATTTTTACCACGTATAGGGATAAAATAAGAACCAAGGTCTATGCTAAGTTAGAATAGAAACTCACATGTGCTGGAGAGGAGCTGGAAGGGTGGTAGGTAACTGAGAAGGGGTGGGAGCAAACAGCCAGAAAATATAAACACATAAACCATTAGACTGTAAATTTTGAAGAAACAGAAATATAATAACAAAAGGTTTAATACATTTAAAAATGAAAGCTAATGTTTATGTTTTACCATGTTACTTGGAAATGACATTGACATTAATGAATTGACAGGAAATGATTTGAGCACCTGCAGTGCCCTGACCACGCCGGGACGTTCAGACCAGTCCCCGGCTCGTCTGCTGTGAGCTGTACCTTCTCAGCTCAGGCCTCGAGGCCTAAGTACTTAAGTGCGAGCAAGATCAACCGGGTCACTGGGGCTAGTTTTATTTTAACTGATCATTTGGAGCACTCTGACAAATAATTTCATTCAAACAGATTTTTTTCATTAATAGTGTGTTTTAAACACTTTTTAGTCATTTTCACTGTATTCTAAGACACCACAGTATTTTTCAAAGAACTTCACAAAAATTATTAAAACGTTTGTGTGTGTGTGTGTGTGTGAAAACGATGGTTGTTGTTGTTTTTTTAACCCAGTAACTTGTCACAATTAAATATGAGATTGAAACTGCTCCTTGATTTGTTTTTTGTAAAAGCCAGGGACAATCGGAGCACGCTACTGATTCCACAGTCAGGCCGGGCCACCTGGGAGGCCTACTTCCTGCCCCTGCTTCCTTCTCTCAATCACAAAACAGGTGCCATTCCTTATAGCCCTGTGGCACTGCCCTTTGGGACCTTTGTATTTCCTCCCTTTACTCTGCCCAGAGCGCTCTTCTTTCACCTCATTCAGATAAACCTCACTTTCTGCACCTCCTGAATAGCCTTATTTGTTGTTGTTCATCCTCACCTGAGGATATTTTTCTACTGATTTTTAGAAAGAGTGGGAAGGAGGGAGGGAGGGAGGGAGGGAGGGAGGGAGAGAGAAATATTGATGTGGGAGAGACACATCTATCGGTTGCCTCCCGCACAGCCCTGACCCTAATCCCAACCTCAACCAGGGCCCGGGATGGAACCTGCAAGCAGGTATGTGCCCTTGACTGGGAATCGAACCTGAGACCCTTCAGTTCGTGGGCTGATGCTCTAACCGCGGAGCCAACCCAGCCAGGGCCTTAACAGCATTTCTGTAGCAGCACAGCAACTTTATTTCTTTAATATGATCTTTTCTCTTTTCTTTCCTTTTGATTTAAACTGGCCTCATCCAGCACCCACCACTCCCTTAGGCCTTAGGCTCTCAGGACAAAAAGGTTCTGATCCGCCTCAGATAATCTTAGGAACAACGCCTCGGGTCTGTTGACCTTAGAGATAGCGTTTGTGTCAAACCAGAGATGACATCTAGGCCTCAGCTGTGTAACAGCTCTAGGCCGAGAAAAGTGGCAAAACCGGATGAAGGGATGCCAT